TTTTGGCACTGAAGCAACACAAGATGTGAAAGTTAAACGAGGGACAAAACACAGCATAAAGTGCTGGTTTTATTTTATTATCTTTATAATCTTTTAAGGGTTTTTTCCTACCTTCACTAAGAAGCTGTGGGAGGAAAGGTGGCATGGTATAGCCCGATCTCGTCAGATCTCGGAAGGTAACCAGGGTCGTGGGAGGGAGACCACCAGGGAAGCCTCTGCAGAGGAAGGCAATGGCAACCCACCTCTGCTTCTCACTTGCCTTGAAAGCCTCTCGCTGGGGTTGTCATCAGTTGGTTGTTGTAGCTTGACAGCACTGACGTACATAAGAAGCAATACGACTCAATCAGCAATATAAAATTGCGTACAAAAGACTACGAGGGATTCACGTATCTTAATGACGCATATTTTAAAGTCCAAACACAATCGCCATGGAAGAACTTTTATTAAGGCCAGCCAAAATAATATAAAACAATATGTAAGCTTCCTGAGTTTTCTGGAACTCTTCAGCTGTCTGGATGTTTTTTTTTTAAAATGGTATTGGGGGGGAATCTTCCAAGCACCCGTCAACTCAAACCCCCTGGTGGTTCTACACAGGACAAAGTACAGCATTCTATGGAGGCCAGGAAAATGCCGTGTTCCCGATCCAGCTTCCCCTTCCTGCTGCAGCAGCTGTTTAGCAACAAAAAATATGCTGGACTGACTTTCTGCCACATGGTCTGGACTGACCCTTTAGCTTCAGGGGAAAAAAAACACAACTGGCCTAGGGAACCATTCCACAAGCAAACTGTTTGTGCCCTAAATCTGTTTTGTTGCATTTTGAATTGTTTCTTTTTGCCTTTGCTTTAGACAGTGCTCCTCTGGATCCTTACCCACAATCCCTTGCCATAATTTTAGTACCACCAAACCAACACTTCAAGTTCAGGAGTGATCCGAATTGGGGGGGACGACGACTAACCCATCAGGTTTTAATTTCAAAATGCAACGTTCACAATAAGTTTCCAGAGCTGGGATGTTCTAGGCGGGGTGAAAGATGCCAGCCCTGGGTTGGGAAACACCTGGAGATTTTGAGGGCGGAGCCTGGGGAGGTTGGGGTTTGGGGGAGGGAGGGTCCTCTCAGCAGGGTTTAATGCCACAATCCACCCTCCAAGGCATTAACCTGGAGGTTGGCAAGCCTAGCTACCTGGAAGCTGGCAAACCTCGTGAAAGAGGATGCAACAGTCTCCATGGTTTTCTACCTGTGCAAAATATTATAAGAGGCATCTCTGCTCACCTTGAATTCTCTCAGATTGGCTCCTATGACCAAACATGGTGTGAGATACGGAAAAAGAGGGAACGAAAACGCATGGATCAGCGAGGGCAATAAAGCCCAGAACTAGTCTCAGAACTTATTAGGCAGATCTGAATCCAGTAGCACCTCAGAGACCAACGAGATTTTGGGGGTATAAGCTTTGGAGAGTCAAAGCTCCTTTCGTCAGATAGTTATCAGGCTAAGTTCAAGCGGCAAATGTCGTGAGAGACATTACCAGTGAAGGCTCATCTTTACTGATTCGATTCCATGGTTATGGTATGGGACTCACCGCAGGGGCAGTCTTAGCGATTCTGATAAGTCACTAACATACCCTGCCAGGCCCTTCACTGGCCATACTCTAGGGTTGCCAACCTACAGGTGACACCTGAAGAGCTCCCACTTTTATAACTGGTCTCCAGGCTACAGACATCAGTTTTCCTAGAGAAAATGGTTGCCTTGAAGAAGGATGGACTCTATTGGCACTGTACCCAGCTGAGGTCTCTCCTTTCCCCAAATCCCGCCCTCTCCAGGCTTCACACCCCAAATCTCCAGGTATTTCCCAACCCAGAGCTGGCAACTCTAACCCCTGGCACTGGGGTCCATGCAAGGGCCAGCCTTCACCCCATAGGAGGGGGTGGGGAAACAAATACTGCCACCAGAAGCCTGCTGCTTGAGCCCCAGTGTCCGTAGGAGTAGGCCACACAGCCCATTTTACTATTTAAAGCAGGAAAATAAATGATCTCCTCTGGGGTAAAAACAACGCAGTAATTGCAATTGCAATTGCCTGTGGAGCTATTTGTTAATTTCATTTCAGCCCTGCTTTTCTCCCCAGTGGGGACCCAAAAGTGGTTTAAAACAGCTGTTTTCTCCCCACAACAACCCCGTGGAGTAGGTTAAGATGCAATTGTGTGACTGGCCCAAGATCACCCTGCAAACTTCCGTGGCGGAGTGGGGATTCGAACCTGGGTCTCCCGGATCCTAGCCTGACATGCTACCTACTACACCACAGTGCCCCTCCCGTCTATTTCAGTTTAACCCCATTGATCTCAGAGGTTTAAGTGACTGACAGCATAGCATCACCCTTGGATAGCTTTTCAAATCTGCCATCTGCAGCAATTGTCTCCCTTTATTTCATTGAAACTAGTATTATGAATCTCTTCACTCAACATGAAACTCCCCCCCCCCCCATAGCAGCACATAGCAACTCAATCAATTGGGGAGAGGGACCCAGAGTGGATCAAGATTCCTTGAGTGGGCCAGGAAATATCTCATCTGCCTTTCGCTTGACAACCAGAGTTTCCTTTTTCCTTGGCTCCTCCTCCTCCTCTTCCGTGCTGCAGCTTCTAGGAAAGGAACAGAGAGGTGCTCTTGGATCCCCGTTTCCAAGCTGGCACTTCAGAGTTCCGGTGCAGCGCTTGGCTTCTCGGTCACATCACTACTGCAGGCTGCCTAGTGGTTCCCTGCTCTCAACTCTGCAGGGCGTTGGAATGCTGGCAAAGAGGACTCCCTGCAGTGCTGCAAAAGAGAGGAAGGTTCCCAACAGCAATCACTGTGTGCTGCAGGGCAGGGGAGAGAATGACTGGAATAAGCTTTGCTTGCCAGAAAGGTTCTAGTACAGGCCCGTAGCCAGGATTTTTTAAATTCGGGGGGGGGGCTTTAAATAAGTTGGGGGGCACCCTGCACACCCACCAAGGGAGCGCCACAAATAAAATCAAAAATTGGAAGTCGGGGGGCCTGGGCTGGATGGGAAGTCAGGGGTCCTTGGCAGTAAGTTGTGGGGTGTAGGCTCCGAGATGCCACACTGCAGCTACAGGCCTGTTCTAGTAATGCTTGAACCAAGAAGACAGGAGGAAGAAGCTTGTCTAGAAGGAGCAAATTGCTGGAAGTGAAGGCCTTTGTGCTGTTTCTTCACCTCAGGCTTCAGAGGGAGAGAGAGTCAGAGAGGCAGATAGGCCAGGACCCTGTTCGTCCTTCCCTTTCTACCGCTTTTATGCTATCCCTTTTATGCTATGTGTAGATTGCTGCTCTCAGGGAATCCTCCTTCCTTCTGGCCTGACACCTTCTCTCTACTCTATGCTAGCCTTCTCCATCTTGGGACCATGATGGCAGGACATGCCGCTTGCATCTCCATCCGTCCCAGCTAGTTAGACTAGATGAGAATCCTATCTCTGATTTATCCTGTCTAGAACGGAGTTCCTTACGATAAAAGACTCATATTCGTTTTGCAAAGATAAAGAGGCTCCGTCTGTAACTTTGTTTCTTGGCAGCACACACAAACCAGATAGGCTCTGCTGCATCATATGCCTTGAGCACACCGCTAACTCAAATAATCCCTCACAAACAGAACACACATGAACTCTGCCTTTTGCCAAATTAGACCATTGGGTCTATTTAAGGCCAACATTGTCTGCTCAGACTGGCAGCAGCTCTCTGAGGTCTTAAGCAGAGGTCCAGGTTAGCCCAATCCTGTCAGATCTCGAAAGCTAAGCAGTGTCAGCCCTGGTTAGAACTTGGATGGGAGACCACCAAGGAAGTCCAGGGCTTCTATGCAGGTAACAGCAAACATCCGCTGTTCGTCTCACTTGCTTTGAAAACCCTATAGGGCTGCCGTAGGTTGGATTTTCTGCCATTGCATGCCATTGTCAGTTAAAGCATGTCTGTGCTTGCCACCAGCCTTTGGATGGAGAAAGGTTTCAAACCTTGCTGAGTGGAGGAGACAGGCCCATCCTTATATCGATTTTGCATTATGGCTTTCCTCAAAGCACCCTGAGCTTAAGGTGGAAATTCTTATCCCCGCTCTAACACAGAACTACAGTCCCCAGGGCCCTCTTAAACCAGCTTGTGGTGTACTCGTGTCATTAGGAGTGAGGATTTTGGTTACCAACTCCTGGCTGAAAAATTCCTGGATATTTGGGGGTAGAGCCCGGGTTTTTGTTAGGGAAGGGACCTCAGCCAAGTATAATGCCATACAGTCCCCTGTCTGAAGCTGTCATTTCCTACAGGAGAACTGCTTTCTGTAGTCTAGAGCCAGTGTGGTGTAGTGCTTATAGTGTCGGGCTAGGATCTGGGAAACTCAGGTTTGAATCTCCACTCTGCCATGGAAGATTGCTGGGCGAACACATGCTCACGCACACAAAAGCTTATGCCCAGAATTCAACTTTGTTGGTCTTAAAGGTGCCACGGGACTCGGAACAGGGTTGTTTTGAGCCACTCGCACACTCTCAGCCTAGCCTACCTCACAGGGTTGTTGTTGGGAAGAGAGGAAGGATAGAAGTAAATACACAAGGTCGGTTTTAATTCCCGGAGATCTCCAAGCCCCACCTGGAGGTTGGCAAGCAACGGACGGGGGGGGGGTTTCTATTCATTATGAAACACCCTAATTGGAACTACCCTGAACTTCCCCTTTCAAATTCCACACCCTCCGGGCTTCTTCGGCGACCCTGACGTCACAATCACCCACGCTCCCTTCGAATGCCCACACCCCTAAAGCATAGCATCGCACCACCCATTCATACCTCCAGCTCCCTTCTCCATTCTCCTTCGCCAGCTCGGCAAAGCAGGAAACCACGCCCCTTTCGGCCTCGGATTGGCTCGCCTCGCCGGCGGGCCTCTACGACACGCTCGCGAATCTTGGACGAAACAGCCAATGAGGAGAGGGTGGGGCGGAGTTACAACGGAAGAGCCCGGATGTGAGCTGGGCGGCAGGGGGAGAGGAGGAAGAAGCAGACCTCAGGCTGGAGGAGGAGTGAAGCCGTGGAGGAGGGAGGGGGTCCATGGAGGGAGAGCAAGGCCCTCTCGGGGTAAGGATCCCCCCCGGGGTTTGGGGGCGGAGGGGAGTCAGGGGAAAGCTGGGGGCGCCCGGGAGGAGAGCTGCAAATCTCTAGGTAGGGATTTCTAGGCAGGGAGGTGTGGCTCTATCTGGTGGGGTTGGAAGAGGGTTGGGGCGCCCCGCTAATGAGCAGGGTCAGGAGGGTGGTCCAATGACTTTGGGGGTGAATCCGTTTGGGAGTAGGGAAATCTTTCTGCAATGGGGGTGGAGGGCGCTAGAGAGACTCAACTGGCACGGGGTGGCCTGAAAGCCCTGCACCGTGAACCGTAGATTCAGGGGCATCAAGATGGGCAGCCGTGTTAGTCTGTCTGTCGCAGTAGAAAAGAGGAAGAGTCCAGGAGTACCTTAAAAGACTAACAAAATCTGTGGCAGGGTAGGAGCTTCTGCGAGTCACTGCTCACTTCTTCAGATACAGGCTCACGAAAGCTCCTACCCTGCCACAGATTTTGTTAGTCTTTAAGGTTCTTCTGGTCTTTTTGCTCTTTTCTGCAGGTGTGACAGAGATTGGTCTACATTGCTTGCTGCTTTATGGTCCCTGGTGACAACCAGTGTGGTGTAGTGGTTAGAATGGTGGATTAGGGTCAGGGGCAAGTGATGCTCTGTATTCTTGGTGCTTGGGGGAGGCAACAGTGGGAGGGCTCCTAGTGTCCTGGCCCCACTGCTGGACCTCCTGATGGCACTTGATATTTTTGGCCACTGTGTGACAGTGTGTTGGACTGGATGGGCCATTGGCCTGATCCAAAATTGGCTTCTCTTATGTTCAAATGCTGACACTGTCATGAAGCTTGCTTGTTGTCCTTGGGCCAGTTGCTCTTTATTACCCTAATGCACCTCACAGGGTTGTTGTGAGCGTAAAGTAGGAGAAGAGAGACTCGTGTACAGTGCCTTGCACTTCTTGGAGGAAGAGTGGGATAAATCTTTGCTAGGTAGACACTCTGTTCCTGAGAGCTGGCATTGAAGACTGGTTATTGCAGGCAGAGTCTCACTTGTACTGAAGTCCTGCGTTGGAAAGGCTTGAGTAGAGGGCTGGGGTGTTAACCTGGGTGCTTGTTTACTTAATTTCTGCATGCTTCTCGTCCAAGGAACTTCAAGCTGCATTTTAGCAGTACCAACCCTGGAAGATTGAGAGATCTGCCTGAAACAGATTAGGGGAGCTTCATAGCTGAAACTGACTTTAAGGCCAAGATTGGCCCGGATGTCTGGGCATTTGTCAGTCCTAGAAAGTACCACAGGGAAGGGGAGTGAGAGAGCCGTTCGTTCTCCTTTTCTTGCAGGGTATTTCATAATACCCTTTTGAGGAGGGGCTGTGGCTCAGTGGTGGAGCATCTGCTTGGCACGCAGAAGGTCCCAGGTTCAATCCCCGGCATCTCCAGTTAAAAAGATCAGGTAGGAGGTGATGTGAAAGACCTCTGCCTGAGACCCTGGAGAGCTGCTGCAGACTTTGATGGACCAAGGCTCTGATTCAGTAGAAGGCAGCTTCATGTGTGTTCATAAGAACATCAGAAGAGCCCTGCTGGATCAGACCAGTGGTCCATCTAGTCCAGTATCCTGTCTCACACAGTGGCCAACCAGTTGCTCCAGATGTCCAACTAACAGAGCATAGAGGCCGAGGCCTCCCCTGATGTTGCCTCCTGGCACTGGGATTCAGAAGTTTGCTGCCTCTGACTGTGGAGGTTCTCTTTAGCCACCATGGCTATTTCTGGGCCTCTCCTCCAAGAATCTGCCTCTGTTTGTGGCCATCACTACGTGGATTCCACAGTTAAACTACTGGTAGCTGAGAAGGAAGTGAAAGAATGACAGGAAGGCTCCAGGTCTAGGAAGTGTTTGTTTATCTATATGTTTATTTATATCCTGCCTCTCACCCCCAATGGGGGCCCACAGTGGTTTAATTCATTCTCCTTCTCTCTCTTTTATCTTCACAACAACCCTGTGAGGTAGGTTAGGCTGAACGTGTGACTGGCCCAAGGTCCCCCAGCAAGCTTCCATGGCATAAGTAGGTATTCGAACCTGGATTTCCCAGATCCTAGTCTACACCACACTGTCTGGTTTTGGGAGAAGAGTTGTAAAGAGGTTCAAACTTGGGTAGGTCTCCTCTCACCAAATCATGGGAACTGAAGAAGAGACCTGTGTGACCTGGCGGAGGGGTCAGCTGCAGTGACCAGTGCATTAAGGCAGGCAGTGTTCTGAGGGTGAATCCCTGCTCAACCATGAGGCTGATAGCTTTGAGTAAGCTGCTATAGAAGGCTATTGTGTAGATATACTATAATAACCCTGTCTGCAGGCAGAGTTGCAAATGTGTTGGTTAAAATAGTGACAGGGCTTGTCTGGCTGGGTCCCAAGGGAGCCGCAAAGTGGAATAACATTATCTTGTTGTGTAGCTGGTAATCTGAGCGGTAAAGCTAAAGATGCAATCTTGCGCTTGCTTCCCTGGGAGTAAGCCTCATTGCCCACAGTGGAACCCATTTTTGCATAAACATGCATAGGATTGCGCTGTAAGTTTCAAATTTGCAGAGGTTTTCGGTTGCAGCTGTCAAAGCTGCTGGTGCAGATCGAGTGAGAGGTGACGTCTGCGTCCTTGGGTGGAGCAGCTAGTTTAAACAGGGTGCTGTTGCGAGACTGAATTCCTCGACCATCTCTAGTGTCCTGCTTCCGACTTCTTTTTAGTCTGTATTTTGGGAAACACCATACCTGTTAGGGTTTAAAACTGATCTCATCCATGTGCATCTGCTGAAACACAAGGATTCATCTTTGAGCAGTTTTCCATCGCCCTACGGATTGCTGCACAGGCAGTTGGGCTGGACGTGGCTCAATTCTTGCGCAGTTGCAAACGCTTCGAAAATACATTCTGTAATTGCACTGTCCAAGTGCCTGTGCAGACTATGGCGCTTGGTATTTACTACTGATAACTCACTGGCGCTTGGTATTTACTACTGATAACTCACTGGCGCTTGGTATTTACTACTGATAACTCACTGGCGCTTGGTATTTACTACTGATAACTCACTGTGGCTCGGGAGCCACTTGTGGCTCTTTGGCATGCCACTTGTGGCTCTTCTGCACACGTACGTTCCCCAATCTGGCGCTTTCTTCATTATTCAGGAGAGTGGACTTCCCACCCTGAAACAGTCACCACCCGGGGATCGAGTAAGCTGTGAGACTCCCTGAGGTGCAGCCATGGTTCAGAAGTAGAGCATAGATTCAGTATAAGGCAGCTTCATATGTGTTCAGGGGTGGAAGTGCTCTTTTGGTTGATGGAAATTGCAAGTGCAGCGCTCCACAAGCTGCACAGAAAATACTGCTGGTTTAGACCAACGGTATTTCTGGTTCTATGCCTTGTGCAAATGGCCAGCTGGATGCAGTGGAGTATTCTGTGTACAACAGCTTGCAGAATTTTTTAAAACCACTTTTGCTAGTGTCATCTCAGTGGAAATGGATCACAGGATACATGACGTCATGTCCAAATGCAGTCCTGTAACTACTTGGGCACTTGCTCAGTGCAGAAACATGGATTTTTTTTTAAATAAATGTGGACTTCTCCCATAGGTAGATCCTTACCGCCATAATGGATGACTTAAACCTGCACTACCGATTTCTCAACTGGAGGAGGAGGATCCGGGAAATCCGAGAGGTGCGAGCTGTCCGGTACCACGAGCGATTCAAACATATCCTTGTGGATGGAGACACATTAAGGTAACTTGTGGTCCCCTGCGTAGCCCAGACTAGTCCAATCTCATCAGATCTTGGAAGCAAAGCAGAGCTGACCCTGGTTAGTACTTGGATGGAAGACCTTCATGGAATACCAGGGTCATCACGTGGACACAGGCAATGGCAAACCACCTCTGCACATCTCTCGCTTTGGAAACCCCACAGAGTTGCCATAAACCAGCTGTGACCAATGTTCCCTCTAAGCTGTAGAGTCTCGTGAGCAAAAATTCTACTTGGTGAGCTACTTGTATTAAAGCTGTGAGCGAGCGATTTGGCTGCTGCATCAATTAGTTTGCTCTGGAGCCGTCGTCCCTGAGCCAAGACAAAAATGTGTGAGCCGGAGGCTAAAAAACTGTGAGCTAGCTCACACTAACTCAGCTTAGAGGGAACACTGGCTGTGACTTGACTGCACTTTCCACCACTATGGTCTTGGGGAGAAGAGCTGAGAGTAGCGACCTGTCAGAAGCTGAAAATGGCGAGTGTTGTGCATTCTGCATTAATTACAGTTATTCTCTGTCCCAGGTGTCCTGTAAATATATATCTCTCTCTCTCTCTCTCTGGCATCTAGAGCAGATGAAAAAGATACGTTGACTGGAATGTACCTCGGACTAAAAATAAAAAAGATTGTTCTGTTTCCTACACTACATCGACAACATTCAGAGGTGGCACGTTTGAGACGAAAACATATTTTTAGCATCCCTCATGAAATTGTTCTCAAAAAATTCAGATATAGATATATTGAAGTATTAAAAATGTACTTTGGCCCCGGTCACACGGGCCGGATATCGCGGGGGGAAGGCATGGCTGTTTGCCCCGGAGCGAACTACTGCACGGCCGGTGGATCAAACCTCCCGCCGACGTCCCGTGGTTCGGGGGGAGGTTCCGATCATACGTCAATCCTGCAGCGTGGCAAAGAAGTGGCACGGCGGGGTGTTTTTTTTTTTTAACTGAAGTGTGCGCATGCGCCGTTGGGTGCTTGTGCGCATCCCGTGGAGACTTGGGAAAAAAAACAACCTTTTCGCAACGGGACATGGGCGGGCGTCAGCTGCCACGAGCTACCACCGGAAACGTGATCAGACGCCCGCCCTTGCCCCGTAGTTTCCGGAAACTAGTACCCCTGAGGTACTAGTTTTTTACTTTGCATCTTTGGCGGGAAGCTTCGGGTTAGCCACAGGAGCTTTACGCTTCCCAGATGTTGCGGTGTGATCGCGCCCTGAAAATCCGCCTATCTTCTGTCTCTGTAGCGTGGCTAATGCTCCGTGTGACCGCAGTCTGTGTTTATTTAAGGCCCTATTAAGCCCCATCACTCTCCACATACATGGCTCCACAACTGACCTGAGCTCACAAACAGGTTTACATTTGGCAACATGATGTACACCTCTACAAATCAGTGAAGTCCTTCATTTCTCCCTTACTGCTTTTGCTGGCTTTCTTAATCGTTGTTCTGACTGAGAGTCTGTGTCACTGTTTACAGGCCTTCCCTCTGTCTGCTGCCGGGCCCTTTCTCCACGGTGATGAAGTGAGCTCTCCATCCCCTCGGGCGCCTGTGATTGTTTCTCACTTAGTCACCCTCCGTACAGTACAGCACTGGAAGGGGTGGAATCAGCTGGAACAGGAGTGCTCCTGGCTCCAACATGTAAAGTACACAGACTCCGCTCTAAATAAACTTGGAAATATGCGTGCAATGCAGCCGCGCTCCGAAGACGCTGCCTCCTGAGGGCACGAGTTATTGTATACCGAAAAGACACTTCAGTTTTAATTCACAGAGCACGCCTAGCGCTAACCTTGGCATTTTATTAAACGAGTCTGAGACAAATGTGCCATTTTATGGGGGTAGGGTGGACAACCCCCAGGTAGCACCTGGAGGCCCTCCACTATTACAGTTGCTCACCAGCTGACCAAGATCACTTCCCCCTGGAGAAAATGGCTGCTTTGGAGTGGGGGGGGGACTCTATGGCACTGTACCCCACTGATGTCCTTCTCCTCCTCAAACCCCACTCTCCCCAGGTTCTACCCCCCAAATCGCCACGCATTTCCCAACCCAGAGCTGGCAACCATATAGTGGGGGGGATACAAATCTACAACAATCACACCACAGAAGTGAGACTCCTTTGGGTAGTGAAGGGCGGGGTATAAATCCAATCTTCTTCTCTTCTTCTCTTTTTGTTTGTTAACATTATTTGTAGTCTGCCTTTCTCTCTTGGGCTCAAGGCGGATTACGCAGAGTGAGTCAATACAGTCGACAAGAAGGGACATTCAGTCAGCAATGCAAGAGGGTTTGGGTTGTAGGATCAGCCAGAAGTCTAAAAAAATGGAACTAAAACCAAGCGTAAGCAACTAACGTGACATTTTAAATGATGCAAAATTCCACAGTAGGAACCTAGTTTCAGCAAGCTAAACCCAGTAGTGTAGACCACAGTCCCTAACAATGCTTCCAAGTAACTTTGTGATTTGTTTAGTTCAGGGCTACCCTATTACCTGTCTAGAAGAGCCCTCTTGAATAGTTCTGTTTGTGTGGTGCGTGGAAAGCCAGGGGAGCGGGAGCCTTTCCGGACCTCCTCAGGCAGGCTGTTTCCCAAGGTGGGGGCCCAGTGGAGGAGGCACATGTACTGCCAGTTCTTGATTTCGCCCCTTTGCAGGCTGGCACCTATAGAAGACCCTGTTCTGGGTGAATGCACATACAGTTTGTACAATGCCCTCTGTTTAACATGTAATATAAACCCACACGTTTAACATGTGATATAAACCAGTGGACTCTAAATCTGGAGAACTGGGGTTGATTTCCCACTCCTCCACATGCAGCCAGCTGGGTGCCTTTGGGTCAGTCACAAGATCTCTCACAGCTGTTCTCTCAAGGGCCATTCTCTCAGAATTCTTTCAGCCTCACCTACCTCACAGGGTGTCCGTTGTGGGGAGAGGAAGGGAAGGAGATTGTAAGCTGCTCTGAGACTCCGAGTGAAGGGCGGGGTATAAATCCAAACCTTCTCCTTCTTTTATTTACCTAGGTACAGGCCCCCAGTTTCAGTTTTGTAAAGGGAATGCTAGTTCTTTCTTACAAATAATATGCAAATACATGCAGAGGACGCACATGCATTCACTGTAACATGGGAATGGTACTTCAAGGGATAACTGCACTTGGTTAGGTATGGGGTTCTTGCCTGAGAATAAAGGAAAAACCGTGTTGGATGACACTGTTCACCTAATCTGTTTTCTTTGCTTGCAAACATCCTAGCAGACTCTAACTGCTCCAGCCAAAATTGGACAGTTGCTCATTTACATGCCCTGCACAGCATTCTTCTTGTCACTGCATCATGTGATTGTTGATCAATTCTAGTGGAAATGATAATGAAGTGATTGGAACCTCTTTCAGTCCATTCTTGTTGTCCATCCCTTTAGTGGTTAAAAGCAAAGAGAAGGCTGAAGTCATTGAGTCCTGCTTGTGGCCTACCTCTGGCATTTGTCTTGGCCACTGCTGGAAACAGAATGCTGGACTAGATGATCCATTGGTCTGATCCAAAATGGATGTCCTCATGTTCTTAGGAGATCAGGAATGGTTAATTGCTCTTCAGTACAAAGTCTTCTGGATCTTGGCAGCAGCAGATCATATGTTAGTGCTTGTTTATTCTACCCCTAAGCCTCCATTAGCCAATTCAGTGTCACCCAGGAGAGTAGAACAAAGTTTGAGTCCAGTGGCACCTTTAAGACCAACAAAGTTTTATTCGAGCTATGAGCTTTCCTGTGCATGCACACTTCTTCAGATATAACGAAATGGAAAATACCAGTCCATACATATAGGTAGAGGCTGAGTAGTAAATTAGCACACAACCTAATGAAGATGTTTAACAGATTCAGGAATATCAAGCTTAGTTTATATGGTTACCATTTGTTTGGGTTCAATTCTGTGGGGAAAACATAGTGAAGGAAATAAATATGTCTAAATTGGAGATTGGCGTATCCTTAATTGTGGAATGCCGAGAGTAATTAACTAAGACCCTGCCATTACGCTCTATCCGTCTCCTCTCCAGTGTCACCAACGCAGGGATGTTTCCCTGGCAGGAGGAGAGGCAGAATTTTAGAACTTGGCCTACTTGGGAATAATTCTTGCCACTTCCTTGTCCCCTCCATTGGAGCCACTGGCCTCTGCTTGCTTTCTCTTCTGGGGCCTTCCTGTGTGTAGCCTGTCATGTCATGTCGCTTCAGTAGCTGAGAACCTTACCTTGTATCTTGTTGGCAGTTACCACGGAAACTCTGGCGAAGTTGGCTGTTACGTCGCGCGTCATCCGCTGACCAAAGACAACAATTATTTTGAGGTAATTTTGCTTGGCTTTCCCTCGGGGGTTTATCAGAACTGGTCTGGAGGTGGAGGAGCTTTTAAGAGTTTCATCACCTGAACGCTCTTAAACATACTCTTTTATTCCCTGTGCACCCATCTTGTTTCCTAACCTGGAAGTTAATCTTGGTGCTACATTCTGGGTAATACCAAGTGCTGGATAGTAGTGGGGGCTGCTTCCACCCTGCAGTAGTCCTGTCTTAACTTATGGGAGCTGCTGTTTTGAAGTACTCTGTATTACACACACTCTCTTTATTTAAACCATTTCTGTGCCACCGTACCACCAAAATGTGGTCTCCGAGGTGCCAAACATCAAATATGGTTATTTTCTTTTGTTGTTCAATTCTTGTTATATTATTGTTATTAAAAATAAAAAATTGAAAAAAAATCATAACACTTAAACCTCAAAAACAACATAAAAAGGTAAAGGTTCCCTTGCTCGAAAGCCAGTCGAATTCGACTCTAGGGTTGCGGTGCTCATCTCCGTTTCAAAGCCGAAGAGCTGTCCAAAGGCATTTCCGTGGTCATGTGGCCGGCATGACTAAACACCAAGGCGCATGGAACGCTGTTACCTTCACACCGACGTGGTACCTATTTATCTACTTGCAATTTCTTGCTTTCGAACTGCTAGGTTGGCAGGAGCTGGAACTAGAGACGGGAGCTCACTCCGTCATGCGGCACCCAGGTCTCGAACTGCTGAACTACTGACCTTCCACAGCCTGCAGTTCAGCGTCTTAACCACTTGAGCCACCGCAGCTCCTAAAAAAAGCCCCAACAACATACAAACACACATAACGCCAAAAAACAGGGAGGAGGCCAGTAACAGTTATATAATAGATTTACAGTGCAGCTTTTAAGAGTGCACAAAATATACAAAGATTTTAAGAGTACATAAAGTAATCTGTGCTCTTTCCAACACGGCGGTAAGAAAGGAACTGGTGGGATGTCCGCGCCCACCCCTCTGGGCATGCGCAGCGGGGTTCCTGCGCATGCTCGAGGGACTGGGCACGAGAGTCCATTGAAGAGCTTGCTACAGTGCCGATCGGTCCAGCGCGTGTGCCCTGGATCCCATGGGTGTGAAGCACAGAGACCACGTCGAAGATTATAATAGTTTTACAGTGCAGATTTTAAGAGTGCACAAAATATACAAAGATTTTAAGAGTACACAAAGTAATCTGTGCTGGCTGCCAGAACGTTTCCAGGTCAAATGCCACATGCTGGTTTGGGCAAAAATGATTGTATGTTTAGCAACATTTGTGCGCTGGGGACTGTAGTCGAAACACTGTGTATTTATTTAGATATTTGTACCTTTTCTTTATCCTCAGTGGGGACCCAGAGCAGCTTATAACATGGTTCTCGCCTCCTCACAACAATCACCCCATGAGGCAGGGTAGGCTGAGAAAGAGCGTGAGTGGCCCAAGGTTACCTAGTGAGCTTCCGTGGCAGAGTGGGGATTCAAACCTGGGTCTTCCAGATCCTCGTCTGACACTCTAACCACTACAGCACGCTAGTTCTTTCATAAAAGTGAAAGTCCTTGGCCAGGAGCTGTGATCTTTAAGACTGGGTGAAGGTGAAGAGACCAGGTCTGGGAAACTGACCGTGATGGGGCTGAGTTGGGGGAAGAAATGGCGGGAGAAGAGCAAATAATCCTGGGCCCAGCCTGTGCTGCTCTTGACGTGCCCTGCTAAGTGTGGGCCATTGGCTTTGCATGGCAGCAAATTGGGGGATTTATAAGCAGTGCATGTGCAGAGGACTTGTGTGTTATGCCACAGGAAAGAGCCACTGAAAAACTACAGTGGTGCCACTTGGCCTGGCCTGATGCCTTCACTGAGCAAACTTATGTCTGGCTCTTCACCAACTATTTGAAAACGTGCTGAATTCAACCATACTGGGGGAAAAAATGTTATACCATTGCAGGGGTCATTTCCTGCAGGAGCGCACAGGAGCAGAGATCCGGCAGTAAGGAGCCCAGGGGGCGGGCACATGCAACAAGCCCCGCCCCCTGGTTCCTTCATCCCTTTATTGTTTTATTTCAATTATTTCCCCCTTGCTTCAGAAAACATTTTTGAGGCATTGTTCATTGTTGTGTCTCCTGTGCGTGTGTGGTTCCCACACATGCCTGCACAGAAGAACACTTGATGGACAACAGTTTTAGGGAAGTGCCTTGAGCCCAAAAGTTCATAACAGAAGTGGAAATTGCACTCGGGTCTTCCTGGCGAACAGTTCCGTTTCAATAGCCGTAGTGCAGTGTCTCCCCCTGCTCTCCCAGTGCCGTTACACACTGTTTTGCGGTCTTCTGCCCCTATGTAGGAATAACCTTGTTTAAAAGGCCACCAAAATGACAATTGGTCCCCCTTTTCATGTTGTCTAGGACACCAACCCTCCTCCTTGCATGAAAATACTGTGCGTTTGTGTCTTGGGATGTTCATTCTCCCCACTTGTTGTAGGTATCAATCGTGGACAGCGGCGTTCGAGGGACCATCGCGGTGGGCTTGGTGCCACAGTATTATAGCCTGGACCATCAGCCCGGATGGCTACCGGATTCAGTTGCCTACCATGCCGATGATGGCAAGTGAGTCGTTGGCTTGAGAGCCATTTGGTATGAAAAGTTTTCTGTATGATGTGGGTGGTAGGAGGTAGCGCACCCTGTATGCACCTGTGTTACCATATGGACATGGAAAGCTGGAGTTAACGGCAAGTACCTGGCAAGTACACATTTAGAAAACAGCATTCACACCTACTTATGCACACTTTTATTTCCTTTGTAACTCTTAGAGGTTGTGTGGCTCACAAAGGAGAGGGCCCAGGGTTCAAATTCCCTAAAAGGTCTTTAAAAAAAACACACCCTTTTTGGAAGGGGAGGGGTGACAGGAGGGGGCCAGGGCTGTGAATATTCAACACTGAAGCATTCTGGGTACATTTAGGAACTTTCTATAAAGAGGCTAGAGGCTTGTATGGCAATGACTTCCTAGGGATTTCCCTAGGGTTGCCAGGTCGGATCGACCCGGGGGGGGGGGAGGCAGGGGGGGGTGAGAGGAGGGGGAGGCAGGTGGGGCTGAGAGAGTTCTGAGAGAACTGTGACTGGCTCGATGTCACCTAGCAGGCTCCATGTGGAGGAGGAATGGGGAATCAAACCAACTTCTCCAGATTAGAGTCCACCTTTCTTCACCACTACACCATGCTGGCTCTCCCCATTAAGAATTTCCTGGCAAGTAAAGTGCCATGATCTGTCTGACCCAGGCTAGGCCTTGTCACATTGCGGAAGCTAAGCAGAGTCGAGATTCAAGATCTGGTGAAATTGGGCTACCCTGGGACATCCAGCCCAGGGCAGAGAAGGGGCATTGAAATAAATCGTCTAGAGACCCACAAATCTTTGGGCTGGCTCTCTCAAGGGGGGACGGGATGTGAAGGCTCATATATGCAGGGCTGGGTCAGTGAGGTGAGGTGGCTTTGGGCAGTAAATTTTGTCGAGCGGCAGCCACCATCTACCTCAGCAACCCAGGAAACCAGAGCAGATGACATGCCTTCCCTCGTTGCTCCCTCAGGTGTCTTTGGACGTGGTGCGGCAAGACACCCATGCCCAGTAGACCTCCTTGAACTCTTGTGAGAGGAAAAGAATCTTGTGGGAGTCCATGATGTGCCATTTGCCATGCTGTGTTTCAAGGCACCTGGAAACCTGGAGGGAAGGAGTAGTAGCTGTTGGGGTCAGATGTTGAGGTGTTGGTGGATGGCCTCCTGTAGCATCCTTTATTGAGTCAACACTCCATGGATTTCTTTGTGTTGTTTGTGCTTTTTTCGGTTTGGTTTTGTTCTTCTGGTATGGGAAGGGAATAAATGTAGGCAGAGAGAGAGCCTCAGACTGCCTCTTACAGAGCTCGGTCTCTTGTGGAAAATTCTAGAATGCCTTGCTCCTGCCCATCTTAATGATTTTGGTCTGGTGTCTCACCCCAAGCCTGGATGATATTGGCTGAGATAAGAATATCTTCTGTCCATGAAAGTGCTTACATTTCCCCACCCCCCAAGATCCATTATGCTTTCGCCCCATCCAGGCTTTACAACGGCCGAGCCAAGGGCCGTCAGTTCGGGACGAAATGCAGCTCTGGGGACCGAATTGGCTGTGGGATCGAGCCCGTGTCTTTCGAAGTCCAGACGGCCCAGATATTCTTCACCAAAAATGGGAAGAGGGTGAGTCCTGACACGTTTTGGGGTTTTTTTTGCAAGCCAAAGAAGAATTTGTTTTTCTTTGAGACCGTGGTTCCTCTATACAACCATCTGGGGAATTCGTGTCTTGGGTGGTAATTAAACTGGGGACTTCCTGGTTCACACTGCTAGAAAATGTCTGTGGATTCAGTTGGTAGAATTCTCGGCTGAACCATTTGCATGATAGGGTGGAGCTGCATATATATATATATTTTTGTATTGCACCTGTTCTTGCATCCTGCACTCATTGCACCCGCGTTTTCCAACATGGTCTCTGCCATCGCCTTTCTTGGCCCTGTTCCCTGTCTCCGCATCTGCATGATGCAAATGCTTGGAGGAAGTGCCTCTGTGTGCGTGTCTGTGTGCCTGCTCTCCCTGTGATCAGCAACGTTTGGAATGCAATGTTGCTGATCACGGGAGGGTGTGTGTGTGCGCACCTGGAAGTCATGGTGACCTCTGGTGACTGACCCCACTGGGGGCCTGGAGGATACTGAGAGAGGTAGCTGAATAAAGCCTGCCTCCACCTCCCGACTGCTGGTCTTTCAAGAAGGTCTCTCATCCAAGTACTTATCAGAGTCGACCCTGCTTAGCTTTTGAGATCTGACGAGATCGGGCTTGCCCGGGCTATCCAGGTCAGGGTGTAAAGTTGCCTATCTCTGGTGCAGTTGCACTCATGCTATGCAAGATCCCAGCCCCACTGGTTAAAGAATGAAAACAAAAAAACCCTCCCTGCATTTAGAAGGGTAGCACGTTGTGCCTATTGGTGAGCTTTCTATGTGCGGAGCGTCTTTTGAGAGAGCACTCTGACCATTCATTTTCATACTGTGGCACTTGTAGGGTGGCTTTTAGTGGCTGTATGACCTTGGTGCATTTCCCCAGTGTTGTGTCCGCTGACCGCCACCAGGGGCCAGTGAACACCCCAGAGCTTGACTCTGGAAGGACAATGGAACTAGGCTCCTGGCCTCTCCACTGGGGGGACCAATGGGACCGTGGTGGGAGGTTTGAACCCACCAACAGGACCTGGGGGGTGGTCCCCAGGTATGTAGATAGTTGGCCAGCCGGCCGTTTGTCTTTGTCTTTGTTGTGTAGCAGTGAAGCGTGCAGGATGTTATGGAAGCTGCAGCGGCCTCGTCATGCGGTCAACCCACTACACAATACCCAGTATGTTACGTATTAAGTGCCATCAGATTGCTTCCAACTTATGGCGACCCTGTGAATCAGTGTCCTCCAAAGTGTTGTGTCGTTAACAGCCTTTGCTCAGGTGTTGCAAACTGAAGGTTGTGGCTTCCTTGATTGAGTCCATCCATCTCATGTTGCGTCTTCCTCTTTTCCTGCTGCCTTCAACTTTTCCTAGCATTATTGTCTTTTCCAGGGACTCTGGTCTTCTCATAACGTGACCAAAGAAGGATAGCCTCAGTTTAGTCATTTTAGCTTTTAAGGAGAACTGAGCCTTGATTTGAGCTTGAACCCACCGATTTGTCTTTTTGGTGGTCCATAAAACTCTCCTCCAACACCCCATTTCCAAGGAATCAACTTTCTTCTCGCCTGCTTTCTTCATTGTCCAGATTTCACACCCGTACATAGTAATGGGCGGAAGCGCATTGTTTGGCTTATGCCTTGTTTATGAATATAAAGAGCCAGCAGCTCTGCAACGATTGAGCGATTAATAAATCGAAAGATTATTATTATTATTATATGTTCGTTGTTATATTTATTTCATTAATAATAAAAAAAGAAGAAAGCAAGAACAAAAAATATATGTACGGAGACTGTGACTTTCTCCTGCAGGTGGGGTCCACCATAATGCCGCTCTCCCCAGAGGGGCTTTTCCCAGCCGTGGGGATGCACTCCCTGGGGGAAGAGGTCCGGCTTCACCTCCACGCCGAGCTGGGCAACGAGGAGGAGGACGATAGCATCATGATGGTGGACAGCTACGAGGACGAATGGGGCCGGCTGCACGATGTGAAAGTCTGCGGCACAGTGAGTGAGCATCGCTCGGAGGGGCAGAGAGGACCAATGCTTTTTTTTTGGGGGGGGGGACGCCTTTGAATGAACTTTACCTTCAGCTGTGATGTCAGGAAGATTTAATGGGTTTTCATATTCAGATCCACTCTGTAATTGCGGCAGCAGTCAAGTTGACTCTGTGGATCATATTTTGCTTGATTGTCCCAAATGTTCAGCTCTTAGAGATGAACTGATCTCCCCTTTATTTAATCAGGCAGGACTCCGTCTGTCCGGAAGCTAAATCATCCTGGTTACTTAGAGACAAAGACAAGCAAACTACCCTGCGTGTGGCAAAACTTCCAGCAGCTGTTGTCAAATCACATGACAACTGTTGCAGTAGCAACCTTTCAGTTCTTCCATGTTTTCCTGTGGAACAAGGCTTATTGTGGGATGAGGGTTTGCTGTTTACGACTCCGGTTTCAAAAACAGTGAAGACAGTGATAAAGACCCCACCCAGAGCTCCACACTTGTGCTCTCAGTCTGACCTTCAGGCACGCACCTTGGGTGGTTAGGAAGCGTGTTTCAGTAAAGACTGACCCTCCTAGTCCGTTGCTGTTAGCCATGAGAACCTCTCTGTAAGAATCTGAGTATCAGTTGCAAGGGATCGGAGCACAAGCTACCGTCATGTCCAATGTTCTCTCCAAGCTGTGGAGTCTTGTGAGCAAAAATTCTACTTTGTGAGCTACTGGCATTAAAGTTGTGAGCGAGCAATTTGGCTACTGCATAAATTAGTTTGCTCTGGAGCCATTCTTGTTGAGCTAAAACAAAAAGTGTGAGCCGGAGGCTAAAAAACTGTGAGCTAGGTCACACTAACTCAGCTTAGAGGAAACACTGGTTATGTCCCATTTAGGAGGTTTCTTGGGGGTATCTTTTTTGTTTTTGGTTACTCTTGGGGCAAAATGGTGGGCCGTGTGCTGCAGGGAATTCTTAGGCCTGGTAATGGTTCTTTTAGGATGTCTGTGTGTTCATTGTGTAGAGCCGGCATCGAGGACTGCAGAATTCTTGCTGGTCAGGTATTGGGAAGACCAGCTTTGGTGTCAGGTGGGTAAGATGAGCTTTCACGCTGCAATCCACCTTTGAGCCATGGCGCAATCTGATGCTGCTCTCCCTTCGTATGTAGAACCTTAGTCTCTTTTCCTAGCTGTTAGTGACTCCTCCTGGAACTGTAGGATTACAAAATGCACTTTTTAGACCTTGGTTCTCCTGCTGTAAAATGAGGCTTGGAGGAAGACAGTTGAAAGTGGTTTAATCCTCCTCCCCTGAGGCTTTTACACACACACACACACACACACATATATAGAGAGAGAGACAGACAGACAGACAGACACTGTCTTTCCCACTTGGACTGAAGGTGGATTACACAGGATGGGGACATTCAATAAGCAATACAATAGATCAGTGATGGTGAACCATTTAGAGACCGAGTGCCCAAACTGCAACCCAAAACCCACTTATTTATCGCAAAGTGCCAACACGGCAATTTAACCTGAATACTGAGGTGTTAGTTTAGAAAAAACAACTCATACATTAACATAAGATGATCCAAACAAAGTAAGGAAAGCAATCCCAAATGCTTTCCTTTACGTAAAATTATTTGGCAGAGAATTCCACACTTTAATGATGGTCTGGGCCTGGCTGGGGCGATGGCACGCGTGCCCACTGAGCGGCCTCTGAGTGCCGCCTCTGGCACCCGTGCCATAGGTTCCCCACCATTGCAATAGATTATGGTTGTAGACCTAACCAGAAGTCTAAAAGCAGAACTGAAGCAAAGCATAAATATTTGCATGACCCATGAAATGATGCAAGATTCCATAGAAGGATCCTAGTCCCGGCAAGCTATACACAGTAGTCTAGACCACACAGTCCCTAATAATTTGTCCAAGTAACTTTGTGAATTATTTAGTACAGTGTAACTGTTGCCTCTGTAGAAAAGCTCTCTTGGATAATTCAGGTTTGTGGAAAGCCAGGAGAGTGAGAGCCTTCCGGACCTCCTCAGGCAGGCTATTCCATAAGATGGGGGCCACAAGGGAGAAGGCCACGTGTATCTGTAATTTTACTAATGTTCAAACAAAGTATAGTTCTTCGTGAGGTGGTAAACCTGTGTCTGAGCTGGACCACTTCAACTTCAAGCGGAGGCTTGTGCGAGTCACTGTTTTTCCTGTAGTAAGAAAATTCCCCGCACATAAAAAACAAGCATGCCTGGGCAGGAGGAACCTAGGCAAGAATCCTTCTCCCTGACATGTTGATTTTCCACATGGATGGATTTTGGGGGCGAGAAAGGAGCACTGGGTCACCTGAGTCCTGCAGTCTGAAGTGATCCAGCCCAGACTGGCTTACAGTCTAGGTGCGGGATTATTGCAGCCTGGTGCTCGCTAAGTACCTGTCACGGCAGGACCAGGGGGCATGACGCAAGCAAGCAAAAGTCCAGAAAGTGCCTACCTCATCATACGGCCTCCTAGTTCTGCTGATTTTTAGTCTTCATGATTACTGAGGAGCTGGTAACTCCTACCCCATTGTAAATTGATAATTTGCTGGCACACATTCAAATGTGGTCTTCCCCTCCACACATCAAGGTTACTTGTGCTTTGTGCCTTTAAAAAAGTTCTGCATTGAAACAGCCCAGTTTCAGCTGATATCTGCAGCCAATCTGTACACCATTAAGCAAGTTGGTCATATCTGCGCAATTCTGCAGGGTTTTTTTGTTGTGCATAATTTGGGTTTTGCTTTTTCTGGGCGAAGGGCACATAGCTACAGAGAGCAGTGAAGATATGGGGATAATGGTTAAGACACCCCTCTAGGTTTGGAGATCTCAACTGGAGTAATTTGCTTACTTTCAAGCTGAATTATTCTTAGCTGGATTCTGCACCCAACAGTGCAGTCTTCCGTTTTTGCCATGAACTTGTGGCAGATGCTTGTAGCCCTGGGTATCAGTGGGCAGGGACTGGGCATGAAGAGATGAAAGAGGCACACACTGGGCTGGGAGGCACACACTGGTGCTGCCCTCATGTCATCAGTGTCCCTCCCCCCCACGCATAGCCTCATGAGGGCTAAAACCTTAAGGGTTCTCCTCCCTTCCCCTCCCTAAACAGGACAATCAGTGAAAGCCTCAGGAGGTTAACAAAGGAATTCTGTTCTGGAATCCAGCTTCTGTGGTTCATAGTGGTGCAGAAAGCCAGTGGTCTCTCCCGAGATGTTCTCCTTACTCAGTTATCAGAGTCGGCTGGTGTCCTTCCTGGCCATCTGGGCCAGATGTTCATCCAGTGCTGGATTCTCTGAGTTCCCCTGCAAAAATTGCTTTGTCGCCTGACTGTCCATTGCTAAAAAGGACACAAACTAGGGGAGTCATAGAATCACAGAGTTGGAAAGGGCCATATAGGCCATCTAGTCCAACCCCCTGCTCAATGCAGGATCAGCCTAGAGCATCCCTGACAAGTGTTTGTCCAGCCGCTGCTTAAAGACTGCCAGGGAGCGGGAGCTCACCACCTCCATAGGCAGCTGATTCCACTATTGAACAACTCTTCCTGTAAATTTTTTTCCCTAAGATCGAACTGGTACCTCCCCGCCCTTAATTTAAACCCATTATTGTGAGTCCCGTCCTCTGCTGCCCACAGGAACAGCTCCCTGCCCTCCTCTAAGAAGTGACAGCCCTTCAGAGCCCTCCTCTAAGAAGTGACAGCCCTTCAGATACTTCAAGAGAGCAATCCTGTCCCCCCCCTCAACCTCCTCTTCTCCAGACTGAACATTCCCAGGTCCCTCAGCCTTTCCTCACAGGGCTTGTTTTCCAGGCCCCCGATCATCCTTGTCGCTGTATTAAATTTACTTCTTGCATGTTTTGGAATAGCCGAGGACTGTTGGCTATTGAAGGGGGTCTTTCAGGAACCACATTTATATTTATTCCACTTTCCTTTCAGAATTAGTGATTAACATATTCTCCAAGTTATGGTGACTCCCTACCACAGGAAGTAAAGTAACACCTCTGCCAAGAGCATGGCTGACTTTCAGTGGTAGGTTGGCTATTGAAGGAGGACTGTTGGCTATTGAAGGGGGTCTTTCAGGAACCACATTTATATTTATTCCACTTTCCTTTCAGAATTAGTGATTAACATATTCTCCAAGTTATGGTGACTCCCTACCACAGGAAGTAAAGTAACACCTTTGCCAAGAGCATGGCTGACTTTCAGTGGTAGATCCAGGACTGGGGGGGTGGTCAGCCCTGTCAGAGTACACCTCTGATTACCTTCATGAGGGACTTATAACACTTTTTCAGATCATTACGCCAAGGGTTTTATAACGTTTCCTGGCTTGTTGCCACTGGATTTCTGTTTTTAGAATTTATCGATTCCTTTATTTTTTCATGGACGCTTGTAACTGCAAACGTCACTGTAAGCTGGCTTGAGTGCAGAAACGGAAGAAGCCAGACAGGACAGTGGTCTGACTCAGCACAAGTTACCTTTGTGCGCTCAGTACCTCACCTCATGCAAGCCCAACCGACCCTCTCAGACAACCCAGCAGGTCCCCAGGCTTCGAACTGTCACCCTGTTTCAGATTTGACTGGCCTACCAATGGGCGTGATTGATAGGCTGGGCTCATCTTTGGGAGGCAGCATTGTGGCAGTTGCTTGGCTTGACAGACATGGAAATGAGAGGTGATGTAGGGTAGCATTTGCGCTAGGCCTGTGGAGACCTGATTTCAAATCCCCTCCTAGCCATGAAACTCACTGGGTGGCCTTTGGACAGCCACTTGGAGACTTTCTCCTCACAATCCCCTCTTGCCTCTCAGGGTTTTTATGAGGATAAAATGAGGGAAGAGAGGACCTTATCTGTCTCCCTGAGCTCCTTGAAGGAAGGAGAGGGTAGATCTGAAACAGGTTGACCGGTGGATGTCTGGGGACCTGCTGAGTCATCTGAGAGGGTCAGTTAGGCTTGTGTGAGGTGAGGTACTGAATGCGCAAAGCCATGCTGCATCGAGACAGACCA